GCCAAGGCTGGAAGGATGACCCTGTCCGGTAAAGGGTGCAGTCCTGCCCACAGAGCCAACGGGGCACGTGCAGTGAGTAGACCTCTCTGTGCTGCAGTTCACTCATCTGTACAATGGGAAAAATAATAGGACCCGCCTGGTGGGCATTCCATGTGATACTATGTAGAAAGCACTGGAACAGTACCTGTCCCAACGCAAATACTCAACAAATATTGGATGTTGCTGTTGTTATTGACACTGATGATTTGTTGGAGGATGGGGTGGGGCGATCAGAAAAATGCTTAAGATGAGCTGGATGTTCCAAGGAGAGAAGACGAAGGGTTAAAGAGAAATCAGAGACAGGTGTAGGTGGAGCGAAGAGGGCATTTTTATCTGAACTAATTCTTTGGCATGGCTGTTGGGGGTTATACCCTTGGAATCTAGAACAATGTGGGGGTCTCTGTGACCAGGGCAACATGGCTGGGGAGCCACCCTGAGGCACTGTGGGACCTGCACGATAGAAGATCCTTATGTCATAGATAAGGCACTACAGCTTAGACGGTCTTGACTCACCCAGTTACTTCTGCCAAGTATGAAATGTTGGCCCATTCCATAAACGGGTGAATTGTGTCCAAGATCACATGGCTGGTACGGGGGATGGGCCTGGACGCACAAACGTGAGTTCTAGCTCCAGCCCATTTTCATAGCCGCCATGTCGTAACGCTTCCCTAGTCCGGCTGATTTCAGAGCCCATCTCCCCGTCCACCAGGACGTCACGCAGCTGGCCAGGATGCCAGCAATGCTGGCTCCTCTGCTTGCCACCCTCTGACCAGCTGTGTGTTCTTGGAGCTGCTTGCCCTCTCTAGGCCTCAGTTTCCTCCTCTGTTTGTGGAGGACCCCCAGACTTCCCCAGTGACACGGAGCAGGCAGAGTCAGAGGGTGCCCGTAGCCCCAGGAAATCCATGGCTCCCAGCCTGTTACCCCCAGTGATCGCTGCGGGGAGGACATGGAGAGCAGGAGAGGGCTCCTGCAGGGGCGTTCCCGGGGGGGCCAACTCCCACAAGGTGTCAGGGCCCCTCCCACAACCAACGCCCCGACTCTGCTCATACACAGGGCAAGTGCAGGAAGCCTTTCTTGCCCCCACCCCGACCATTCCCGCCCCCGCCCTGCCCCAGAGGGTCTGGCATGTACTGAAGTGAGGAAAGCTCTATCATAAAATGCTCAGATCCGCCAATTCAATTGCCTGCTCCGTGGACACAGGCACCTGCCTCTGCACACACCTAAAGTCAAACTCACCACATTCCTCCTCCCCATCCTGCCCACTCCTCCCCCTTGCTGCTGTCTTGGTGAGTGACATTGCCACCTGCCCTGTGCGCCCTCTGACACCATGTCGTCCCCTCCCCCATGCCTGCGTCCCCACAGCCAGTCACCATTGATTCCACCTGCCAGACCTCTCTCAACCCGCCTCGTCCATCCACCCTGGCTGCTGCTTCAGTCCCAGTCTCCCCCATCTCCTGCCTGGATGACTTCCCCAGGCTCTCTGCCCCGTTCCCTGCATCCCATCGCACCCCACTTCACCCCTGCCCCCCACACGCTACGCGAGAGAGGAGAGGTTTTCCTAACTCCGCGCATGGCCTCCCCATCTCTTGCCTCCAGCCCTTTGCCCACACGGCCCCCTCTGCCCAGACCTGCCAGCCCCTCCCGCAAGCTCTCCTTGATCCCTAGCCCCGCATCCAGGACCGGCTACGTAACTGGGGGCCCAGTGCGAATGAATGTGTGGGACCCCATGATCAAGAGTAGGAAATAGGCCGGGCGCGGTGGCTCACGCCTGTAATCCTAGCTCTCTGGGAGGCCAAGGGGGGGCGGATTGTTTGAGCTCAGGAGTTCGAAACAAGCCTGAGCAAGAGCGAGACCCCATCTCTACTAAAATTAGAAAGAAATTAATTGGACAACTAAAAATATACACAAAAAATTAGCCGGGCATGGTGGCGCATGCCTGTAGTCCCAGCTATTCGGGAGGCAGAGGCAGGAGGATCGCTTGAGCCCAGGAGTTTGAGGTTGCTGTGAGCTAGGATGACGCCATGACACTGTAGCCCGGGCAACACAGTGAGACTCTGTCTCAAAAAAAAAAAACAGTAGGAAATAAGTGCTGCGAAAGGTACTGAAGTACAAAGCTTTCCCTTTCCTTCAGTCTCTTTCTCAGCCCACCGCGGCGTGTTTCCGCTGCCTACCTGAAGTTGCACGGGGCCAGTGCGCCCATCCCGGCGCCACCTCCCAACCGTCCCCAGCACTCACCATTGACAGCCGACAGCCTGTGCCCCGGCCAGAGGCAGAGAAGGGGAGCCGGGCACGTGTCTCGCACAGCCCTCCTCGACCCACGGTGGCCTGGCCGGCAGCCCCCAAGGGTGCTGCAACTTCCGCCCTGTGAGAGTCTCTAAGGACCCGGATGGGGGACGGGCCTTGGAGGCTCAACCTTGCAGGGTCACCCGCTGAGTGGGCTGTGGTACTGTAGCCAGGGTGGGGACAACCGCAGCCATGCCCTACCCTGAGACACCAAAGGACCCATGAACCCAACTCTGCTCCTCCCCACTCTCCCACCCAGGCCCCTGCCAGGTGGCCCGACACCAGGGGGCAGAATCGAGCTTTGAGGCAGGGAGGAGCAGAAGGCAGGACCTTATGTGAGTCAGGGCTCCAAGGTCCTGGCGCATGTGCCATTGTCTCAAGGGACTTCACTTACGAAACAAATTCAGAGACAAGATTAATGAAAATCTCAATACTACAACCACAGAGCATCAAACCCAAGCATAGGGCCCTTCTGAGCTTGGGGCACAGGTCACATGCCCACGAGCTGGCCCCGTCCTCATCCTCGGGTCTCAGGTTAATTGTCCCATTCTGGGGGAAGCCTCCCTGACCCCAAGACCAGCTCAGGTTCTCTTCCAGTGTGCTAGTATAGTGTCCCCAAACGTTGCACATTTCCCATTTCCACTGCTTTAATTGTTTTTATTATAATTACTGTTTAATTGGTTTAATTAATTAAGCTCTGTGAAGACAGGAACTATATCTATTTGGTTCACAATCATATCCCCAGTATGTGCCAGGGATGTGATAGGCGTTAAATAAATATTTATTAAACGAATGAGAAAGTTACTGCAGAATTGGTCCTTAGAGCTCCCTTTTTAAAAACAGTGGGTTATTTTGGACGACTGGAAAGTCCTCAACCTTTCTCGGATACCTACAAAGCAACCGACAGGGTAAAAGAGAGACGAATACCTACTGTCCCTTCCTCCTGCTCTGTCTCCTCTCCTCTCTCTCTCGCTGGGTTTTGCAGAGATGAACACATAATTGACAAGCAGGAGAGAGGAGGCCTCGGCCAGAAGCTGTCTGTGTGACCTTGGGTATCGCCTACCCTCTCTGGGCTTCCCAGTAAAGGGTCCCTCACTGAACATACTTTCCCATCATGCTCTGACATGCTAGGTGACATTTGCCGCTTTGGACATGTTTCTGGTCAGGTTTCCCTCTTCCAGGAAACTCATAATCCTGTATCAATGAACTCTAGACCTAACCTAAGGCTTTGCAACTCCAGCCCACAGACTAAAGGAAAACACACAGGACCAACCACGTGAAAATTTCGAGGCAGCCATTTTGTTTCAAGATGGAAGATGATGTAAGCACTGAGGTGTAATTTAATATCCTCCAGGGAAGGTAGAGTTTCTTGCAAAAGTAGTTAATTTCTTAAGGAGTACTAATGGAACTGAGGCCCCAAAATATAAAATCGGGAGGGGTGGGGTGGACCCAGAGTCCTCCCTACATCCAGGGGCAGAGAGAACCAAGCCATAGAAGGCCCAGGCTCCATGAAACGCCTTCCCTGCCCGCAGAGGTTGCGCCGGCCCTACCCACATTTAAGCCCAGTCTCCTTCCACGCTCTGGAGCTCAGAGATTTTTCCGCTCACAGCAAGCACACATTTAGAATCCTAGCTGCTCACTGGCTCAAGATAGATTCCCATGGAAACCAGCATAAAGGAGAGGCAGCGATAGATAACCTTTCCGTCGGGCCCTGGATGCATGCTAATCGGCCTCCTCCGCCCCACCCCTGCAGTTGAGTGCTGGAAAAACCCCTGTTGAAACGACGCGTCCATTGTCCCGGCCCCTACGGAGGCCAGTGTTTCTAAGAGGCTTCCCCTGGAAGTCCTCCTGCTGTCGACCACCGCCTTGGCAACGGGGCTGCACGAGAGCAGGTTCTGAAGTTGGACAGACCACGTTGGAGGCCCCTCCACAAGACATAGATGTGGGGCGACCCTGAGCAAAGTATCTCAACTCTCTGCGCCTCAGTTTCCTTGTCTTTTCAATGGGTCTAATGTTATTTACCCCACCGGGGTAGTTATGGGGATTAACTAATATAACAATGTAACATATTTAGCACAGAGCCTGGCATTTAATAAACACTTAATAAATGTTAACCAATTTTATTATTAATTAGCTGCTGGGCAAGTAAATCCCTTAATCTCTCTATGCCTCAATTTTTGTCCTCTATAAAATAGAGTGACGTAGGGACAACTAATTCTCGAAAATCCCTCCCACCTTGGCCGTTTTATGGTCCTATGCATGTGTAATTGGTAGAGGGCTGAGGAGAAAGCGGTGTTACAGAACCCTAAAACATGTTCTTCCTTCAGCTTCTCGATCAAACTCTTCCACGAAGGCAAGCTCAATGGACGCTAGTTTCTTCCGGATCATACCCAGAGCGGGAACCAGCAGTCAACCTCCAGGGCTCACCCACTGACCTTACTAAGCCTCAACTTGCACATCTGTCCAATGGGACTACTTCATGGGGTTGTCGTGAGGATTAAACGAGTTTACTTTTGTAAGCTGCTTAGCACAGTGCCTGGGCACAGCGAGCACTCGCTCAGTGCTGGCTGATCGTGCTACAGAATCTGTAACACTGAAAAGCTGTGGGACCACGCGCCAGCCCCGCAGGTGGTCGGGAAGTCAGGGGGCTCCCCCAGCCTGGCTCTGCAGCGTCTTACCAGGCCAAGGTTCAGAGAGTTGTTGTCATCTTCAGGCATGGGCAGGTACATGGCCAGGGCCACACAGTTGGCAAAGATGGTGAGCAAGATGATCGTCTCGAAGGGTCTGGTGCCAGGGTTAAGGAGAGCCCTTGAGGGAGGCGTGGGATTTGCAGGGTTAGGGGGAAGAGAGTGCTGAGCGTCATCTGGAATACGACTCTGACGTCACACTGCTCCTTCCCTGCGCTCCTGCAGGGGACAGAAAGGGCCAGGCTCCGCCTGGACTCCTGCCTCCCTCTCCTGGGGAGCAGGTAACTTCCACTTAGACCCTTTGGGACTGCCGAGGTCCAGTACCTGCCTCAGGTCTCCTCAGCTCTAAGGTCCAGGGAGTCTTGACGTTGCTCTGCTCCAAGCGCCTGTCCACGCCCTTTGTCCCTCCCAGGGAGCCAGGACTCCCTGAGGGTCTGGCCGGATGCCCCCCGGGGGCTCGCTCAGAGAGATGGCCAGGGAGGCTGGGGGCTGATGTGGGTAAGACTAAGTACCCACCGAGCAGGACTGGGAATGAGGGACGATAGAAAGATGAAATCTGAATGTCCAGAGCCACGTGTGCACGCTGGCCTGCCCCTGCTAACAGGCACTCACAGCTCACCCCTCCCAGACACACCCACCCTCCAGGCAGTTTCCGGAGGGCACTGCAGGCCCTCGCCTCCCTTGACTCGCTGACCCGTTAGAAAGCGAGAGTGGCAGGAGCCAGGCAAAGCGAGGGAGGGAGCACGGCTCGTTGCGTGTGTGTTGCGGGGGCAGACTCTGTGGATGGGCTTGATTGAGAAATCCTATTTCCTTCCCAGCACCCTCCAGTGTCTGGGAAGAAAGGAGGGCCGCAGGGGCCAGGCCCACAAGAAGAGAAGGTGGGAGGAGCAGAGGATGGAGGAAGGGAGAACCCAGGGGCAGAACCTGATCTGATAGAGAGAGGCAGGGAGGGAGGGCTCTGGGAGGCCGGGCTGAGAGCAGCTGTGGGGAGCGGCGCAGACCTGACCCCAAACCGTCTCCACTTGGCCCCAAGTTTCTCTTGCCCTTCCAGGGAACAGCTGGTGGGAGACCAGGCTTCCGGAACCCTTGAGAAGTATTTCAAACATTCCTGACCCCCACCCTCAGAACCCACTTGACACAGGCCTCCCTCCCCTCTGCAGCTCCTTCCTCCCTTCCCCAAATAACCGAGATATTTTCATCATTCTTCCTCCCAGAGCTCCTGCAAACACAGCTAGGGATTTGAAGCCCCTGCCCTCGGGGTGGTCTGTCTGAGCTGAAACAGCCAGGCGCGTCGGCCGGTGTCTGGGGCCGCTTGGGGCAGGCTGTGTCCTCCAAGCCCGGTTCTCCCAGCTCCGTACCCACCCTGGACTTGCCCCGGGGGATGGCTTCCCGCAGCCCACCTCTTTACTTCCACTCCCTGGCAAGGGAGGGTTTTCTCGGTGATGCCACACTGCTTCTTTTTTTTGGTCCCCATCCTATTTCAAAATGGGTCTGTTGCTTCACCAACCTAAGTGGCACCCATGACAATGTGGGTTTGGGCACACCTGGGAACAGTCCCCATGAAGCAGGCCCCTTCCACTGATGGTCGGTGGGCATCTCTGGCTCTTGCCCAGGACCTTGGCTGTCCACTCAGTTCCCGGGAAGCCCCGCCAATTCCTCTTCCTCCTCTTCCTCCTCCTCTGCCCCTTAGTTGAGGGCTCCGTCCCAAAGACTCCTCATGCCACTCTGTGGCAGTTCACCCCATTTCCAAAGTCCCCCGTCTCCCTCCCTCCTCAACATTACACACACACCCGCACTGCCCGGGCCAGAAGGATACTTCCATTCCACGATGCTGATGCAGGCCTTCCTCAGGGGGTTCTGCAGGGTCAGGCAGAACAAGGCCCGGGGTGGCCTTGGCAGAATCTCAGGAACAGGCTTCTTGGGCTGTTTCTTCCTCAGGCCCTCATCCTGGGGTGAGGACAGCTCCATGGCTTTCTCCTGCTGCCCCACCCCACTGCCCTCTGTTCCCTGCGTCCCCAATGCCCCCGCCTTGGGGACTGGGCCGGCTGAGCCTGCTGGGCCGAGCCTGCCCTACGGAGCAGTCGGGGCAGGGGCGGGAGTGGGGGCAGGGTGAGTAAAATTAGCCTCCACTCGGCTCCCTGCTGCCCGCGGAGCTCCTAAGGCCAGGCAGCTGTCATTCCATCCAGCCCAGCCAGTGACATCCCAATCTGTCCCCTGAGGAGGGTGGGGGGTGGGGGGAGGAACTTACACACAGGTCTGGGTGGGGCAGGGGCCGTCGGAGACCGGATGGAAGGTTTCAGGTTGGGGCAATAGAGTTTAGGAACTCTGTCATACCCTGTGATACGGAGCCTCAAACTTCAGACTGGCCCCTCCCGCCGCCTAGCTCAGCTCTGCTCCGCGGCACCCCCCCCAAGCACCCCCACCCGTCTCGGTACCTGCCCCATCGGGCCAAGATTCCTCCCACCCACACCCCACCCTATGCCAACCCCATGTCAGGGAAACAGTAAACCCCTCCCCAACGGGGTCGAAGGCTCCCAGAGCAACCCGGACTGTGCACACCCCTGGAAGGGCACACTGCGTAGCGCACTAAAGGTGCAGGAGTGCGTGTGCGTTATCCCTGGGACTCCGGCCCCTCCTCTGCACAGGCCCAGGCACACACTAAGCTGTCTGTTAGCTGCGTTTATGAGCTAACAACAGCCCTGCAGCGCTCTGGGCTAGGAGCGGGAACGAGGAAGGGGCACCAGGGCGGCGAGGGCAGGCAGCGATCTAGGAATGACAAAACTCAACAATGCTTTTATTTAGCTCTTTGGTGCAACCACAGTGCCAATATACCCAAATCCCACCCCTCCCCGCCAGGGTTACAGGATGAGGGAAAAACACGCCGTCCCTACCCCCACCTGGGAAAAAACAAGAAGGCCTCACTGGGGGATGGGGAGAGGGCGATCGTCCCCTATGGAGGAAGCCAGCGAGCACGGCCAGTGCGTACACACCGCCTCTCCCCGTCTATCCGTTCCATCCGGGCTGAGCGCAACCAGGAGCGTGGCCTCCCAGCCTCCCATCGCTTACTCTGGGTTCCTTCCTCGAGGGGCAAGCGAGCTCCTACTGTCGCTAGGATTTGAGGCCATCTCGTGGAGACCTGGGGCATGGTACAAGCAAAGCATAGCTTGTTTCCCGTGGACTCGCAGAGACAAGGACGCCGCTGCCCCTGCAGAGGGAGGGGAGCAGAGCCACCTGGGGCGAGCGGGAGCCAGACCAGGGACGACCGTCTGGGGCTGCCTCCCTGCAGCCTGGAGGGGGCTCTCAGCGTGCACCCAGAGCTGTCCCAGGCTCTGCCGCTCGATGCCCTGCACCTGCGCCCCAAGCTGGTGGAGGAAGGAGGGTGTCGCAGACACGGGAGCGCCGCGGACCTCCAAGTGTCCGGGGCCTGCGCCGCCCCGGCAGCCCCGCGCTGCTCCCCGTCCCACTCTCGGAGACCCCACCCCAACCGGGGGCGGCCACGGCCCGATCAATGGCTGGATTCCTCCGACTCAAAGAAAGGCGAGGAGGAGAAGCAGGAGGACTCGGACGACTCGGGCAGCAGGGAGGGGGGCGCCCGGGCCTCGCCGTCGCCGGGGCGGTCGGGCCGGGCGGCGGCGGGCGGCGCGGGGCAGGGGGGTGGCCCGCCGTCCGGGGCCGCGCCCAGCAGCTCCTGCAGGTGCTTGATGTAGCGGATGGCGGCGCGCAGCGTCTCCACCTTGCTGAGCCGCTTCTCGGCCAGGGCGCCCGGGAGGTGGCCGCGGAGGCGCGCGTAGCCCTCGTTGACGCACTTGACGCGCTGGCGCTCGCGCTCGTTGCGCTTCTGGATGAAGGCGGGCTCGAAGGGGTAGTCGTAGACCCCGAAGGCGCCGGGGAAGGGCACGTAGGGGAACACCCCCGCGTAGGCGTCGTAGTAGGGCGGCTCCGCGTGGCCCGGGTACAGCAGGAAGGGCACGTTGCCCAGGGGCTCGGCGGGGGGCAGGGGCGGCTGCCGGGGAGGGGGCACGACGCCCAGCTGCATGCAGCTGGGGGGCCCCATCGGCCGCCGCTCCACCAGGGCCCGGCAGAAGTTATTGTTCATGGTGCCGCGTGGCGCTGGACCGGAGTGAGCCCCACCAGATGGCCCTGCTTGGGGTGTGCACGGTCCTGACTGCAGGGGAGAGTCACATTGCCAGCAGCGGTTGGGGAGGGGGGTACCAGGACTTGCTAGGGTTTCCTGTCGCCCTTTAGGGTGGCTTCCAAGGACTCTCTATCGCGAGCCATCGCCCTGGGCAAGTGTGGCCCCTCGCAGAGGCTCAGCGAGCACCGTCTCCCATCCAGCCCGTGGCGCCGCGCAACTCCGAGGGCCTCGCCCTCCGCCACGGCGCCCACGTGCAGGGCCGCAGACCCGCGCGCCCCGCCTCCTCCTGCGGCCGGCACGGGCACCTCCCGCCCGCACTAACCCCCAGGCTCCATGCCGGGGCCGGCGGGCAGCGACCCGTTCTTGTTCCTGGCTGCCTTCTGGATCCCCGGGCTGTCCTGGGCGCCCAAACCGATGGCTGCTGCTAAGAGTGCGCCAGCTCCGCAGACGGGGTGCCGGGGGAACGTTTCTAAAGAGGAGGAGAGTGAAAATATCCATCAGGAAAGGCCTGTATGATGGGCTTCTTTGTGTCACCCCCACCCGCAAATGGAATTGGAAATTTCGTGGGCCGGGTGGGACAGCGTAGATCCGGGTTGAAAATCTCGTGTTCATCCCTTAATAGTAGCCTGATCTCCTCGCGTCATGGTTTCCATATGTGGAGACAGGGAAAACACCCTTGACAGGAGGTTAATAAGATACAGGAATATATATCCTGAAACACCTCCCGCAGGGCCTGGCTTATAAAAATGTCCAATGCTGTCACTTCCTTTGAGAGTGGGAAATAAGTCTCCTCACTGACACCTGCCAGGGCCTTCCATCTAACAGGGGCTCCGAGTCTGCCCATCGAATCAGCAGTAGGAATCCCAGCAGCAATGACCGGTCAACCCAGGAGTCTAACTCTCTATTGAAGGACATGCATCTTTGACAACAGAAACTCAGGTGTTGCTGGGACATTCAAAGCCCTTTGCCTGGCAGAGAGACAATCACCAAAGCCTTCCCTGCCCCAGCCCACCAGAGCCCAGCATATACCCTCTCATACCAACCTGGGTCTCTCTGTCGTGGCACTTAACGGAAGCGTCTTTTCCTTTACCTGTGTGTGCCCAGAGCCTAGCCCGGCCCCTGGCGTGTACTAGACACTCCACAAATACCTGTTGAATAACTGAGAGAGAGGACAAGGCAGAAAGCTGGGCTTGCCAGGGTGGGACTGAATTACAAGTAGCCTTTCCTAGGCGTTAGGAAGCTGTTATTTCAGAAATGATTGGTTCGTGTTGAGTCTAAGTGCCACCAACCCTCATCACATGTGGTTATTGGATCCAAGTTAGGTGTCATTTCGTCTAGGAAGCCTCTCTCTCTGATCCCTCCTCTCGTGTGTGACCAGTGTCCCATGAATGCCATCTCAGCACTTATCACACTATGTCATTGTCCTCCTCTTCGTGAGAGACACTCAGCATTCTTGAGTGGGTGAGCGCGCGGGTGCTGCATCGCACATGGAGAGTGACGGGCAGCGCAAGGCTGCAGACACTGGGCAAGGCCTCTCCGAGAGACAGAAAGGGGCCGGCTCTCGCCCCGACAGGGAGGCCGGGGACAGACTCAGATCCCTGACCGTGTCTCCTGCGCCCTCTCACCTCTGTCCTCTGTGCAGGCCTTGGGTCTGTTCCCAGCTAGCTTTGTCCTCTACGACGGATGCAAACCAGGAAAAATCAACAGTGATTCTAAGCATCGCGGAGACCCGGATGTGCTCTCAGCGGTGAAAGCAAATCCGTGAGGTCAGGACAGGTTCACATACCCCTCCTCCTCTCAGCAGCCTGCAAGGGCTCCCCGTTGCTTTCAAGAGAAAGTTCTAGGAGATCCCTTTCAAACAGACCCTCAGTTCCATAGGTCGATCTCCTCCTGATACTCTTTGCTCGTTCCTGACCTTACTTCACACCTTGGCTTGCGCTGACTCTGGTCTTGGGGGACCTCCCTGCATCGCTGTGCCTCACCCTGTCCTGCCGCCTTCAGATTCCAGCTCCTGCCCACCCTGGTTGCCTGAGCTTTCCAGCTTCCATGTGGGCTTTCAAGGTCGTGCATTCTAACTCTTCAACCAGATTGTAAGCAACCAGAGGGCAGGGCGCATGCCTTTTCCTTCTTAGGTAATACCCCTCAATCCTTTGCTCAGTGCTAGGTACATAAAGCGTGCTTGAAATCATTTGCTAGTATTGCTTTTTTTGGTAAAAATTTGGGATCCAGACTGTCCCATGGGATCCCTGTCTATTCATATTTGACTTAATTATTTAAATTTAATTTGATGGAGGTCAGAAATTTATTTACATCTCAATGACAATTTTAATAAATACAACTTAATATTTGTTGATGTTGATTCAATATTCATAACTTATTTATTTTTCTCATCTACTATTTATATATTTTTAATGAAACTATTCAGAAAAGTGACTCAGACAAGAAACCCCGCAGTTGGACCATGTATTTCTTGAGCCAGTTCTGTCTTTACTGTTAGAAAAGAGCCAATAATCTGGGAGCATAGGTGAGAACACGCCTGCAAGTGAATTAGGTTCTAGTCCTGTCACTGAATCCCCCACCTGCTCGCAGAACCTGAGGGACACAGTGTAGCACATCATCGCTAAGTGGCATGATAGTCATTCAGTAAGTGTGTACTGATGGCCTTCTAAATACAGGGACTGTTTTAGGTATGGGATAGAACAGTAAACGAGCATTGTAGTGAAATAATAATGATAATCATCGTGATCACTGATTATTTATGATGCATGAGACGCCATGCTATACACGAATCATCTCACTGACTTCTCACTCCGTTCTTGTGAGGTAGGTGTTAATATTATCTAGTTTTACAAGTGAGAAAACTGAGGCTTAAACCTAAACAAGGACCTTGGGAAAGTGACTTGCACGAGGCTAGCAATTCATGAACTAATAAATCTAATCGCCCGTACTCAGCTTCCGCCGCTTTCCCCCGTATTTCTGCTGGTGGCTTCACATCTGAGCAGAGGATCAGAGAGGTCGGCGCTGCCCTGACGCAAAGGTCTTATTAACTTGTAACTCCTGTTGGAAGGGGTGGCCCACGGCCGATTAAGATTATTGTGCCCTTCTTTAGCTTCTGCTCTGCTAAGAGAGGTACTGCAGGTCACCTTGGTTACCCTTGGGAAGGTAACGCCCCCTGGAAGATGTTCTTAGGAGGGTGGCCCATGCAGTTTTGCTGCGGGGAAGATGAGAAGCGGGGTGTGATTAGACTGAATCAAGCACCAGGAGCTGTACCCCTGGGAGCCTGATGAGGAGCCCCCTTGCCTGAGTTTAGAAAACCTGAGCAGACCCCCGGCCCTTGCCCGGGACAGGATCTATCAGCAGCAGACTCCATCCGCTCGGTTCGGGCCACTGGGCAGAACCAGTTGTCAACAGCGCCACAGTGTGGTGGTGAGGAGCAACGGCAGGAAGCAGGTTGATGACATTCCAGGTCTGGACCCCATCATCAAATATTGTGCGAAGAACTTTACAATCCTCAAATCTGACTTCGAGCACAGAAGGTAAGTTGCCAGGGGGGGTCTCCCGGGCCTCCTTCCCAAAGCCTTGCCGCTATTAATTGTGCAGCATGGAGTGTTTGCCCACCGGTGTTAGCCCCTCGTGGTCACGGACCGCCAGAGGCTCTAACTGTCCACACCTCCAAGGCCGGACCATTAGCATGACTTGCTGTTGATGGTTTCGTACGTGTCACCTGCAGATCCCTGTCCAGGCCTCTGCTGCGTGGCCGGTGTTCACGTGGCCCCATCTCCCCGTGTCGCCAGCCCTCTACTCTGCGTGGCCGGCAGGCAGCCTGAGAGCCCTCTTCTTCCAGGGATCTCCCTGCCACTGCCCCAACCCCGGCTGTAAACTGTAAGTGCAAGAACTCCTGCCTTGTGCTCCGAGACACACGGTACGTGCTCGGTAGATGGCTGCTGATTGACACTGGGGGGAAGCCCCGGGGAGGCCGAACTCTCATCCATCAAGCGGAGGCAGATGTGAATTTGGAACAGGCTGGACCGTTTAAGAGCAGACAACATACCTCTACCTTTCAGTTTCTCTCACTGTCTTCACTGGGACGGGGGCCAGAGTTGGGAGTCTGAGGTCGGAAATTGGCTGAACATGTCCCTTCCGACAGGGAGCCCATCGCTGTGGATGACGGTTTGAGGAAAGCAAGTTCATAGTCCTGTGCTTCTCCTACCTCTCGGGGAGATTTCTGAGAGCCAGTCAGTTCAGGATGGTGCTTTTTGGTAGCAAGGTAAGGAGCAGTTTTCTCTTATGGTAAGAGTTGTCCCCTGAGTCACATTAGCACTTATTGGTGGCTTTAGAACAAGAGTCCAGATGTCCTGGCTCCTGAGCCGTAGCCGTCCTTCCTGCCTCAGGTTTGGAAACCGCCGGCTGCTCCCAAGCAACCTGTGCGCAGCCACTTTCCCCAAGAGAAAAACACTACGCAGCTTTGACCTGGGCTGCCCAGGCCGAGCCCTCCCGCGCGGCACCGCCTTGCAGGGCAGAGAAGGGAAGGCGAGTATGGGCCAGGTGCCTTGTGACGCTCGTGCTTTCCCTGTGCTCTGCTCTCCTTGTCTCTCCTAAGCCTCACATCTCAGAGGACGTAGGTATCATTGTTCCTAGTCACAAAAAAGGAAACTGAGGCTCAGAGAGGCTAAGAGAGCTGCTCAGGGTCACACAGCGTGGTTGCAATTTGCTGGGGTCTGGATACATGAGGATTTTCTAAGCTGGGAAGGGGTCCCCGACTTTTTTTATAAGTCCCCATTGTTACAGGATCTCCTGGGGTCCAGAGCTGGGTGAGGGGTCATGGTCCTTCCTGATTCCCTGACTGTAACCTGGCATTTGCAATGCTGGGGAGTCACAGGAAGAGGTTCCTAGAGGCAACTACCCTTACTCCCCAGGGAGAGTATCCGGCCTCTACCTCCTAACCCCCCCGATGCTGGGAG